TTTATTTTGCTCTGGGAAGGTAATGATAGCTATTTTTTCCTCCAAGCAAAGTTTGCAAGTTTTGGATTGGTTGTTGTAGGCTGACGATCTTTTCCTTATTTTCCTCCAAGATATTTTTGGTGTGATGTGCGTTTTGGCCATTAATTTCCCAAATATACTTAGAAAACATTGTGCTGTTTGCATATTTACACACACACACACACACATATATATATATATATATATATATATATATATATGTGTGTGTGTGTGTGTGTGTGTGTGTGCGTGTGTGTGTTTGTGTGTGTGTCTAAATTAGTATATAGAATCACACCAAAGTTTTAAAGAAATTAGAAAAAAGTACTATGATTCATTATTTAAGCATACACACAAATACAAAGACACATTTCTTTCTTTCGTTTTTGGGTCTGATGAAGCCTAGAAAGGCAAAACGCGTAATCAGATTTATTTCAGGTTAAATATTACGTGTTTTGCCTTTTTAGGCATCATTATAATCCCTAATCTATTTCGGTTTTAAGTAAGCCACTAAGGGTTGATAAGCCATAAAAAAAAATCAATTAATCAGTTTCTATTCTTACTCCGAGCTGCTATTATGCAACCCTCACATCTATCTCCCTCATAATAAAGGTCATTAGACCGAACAATAAATAATTTGGGCGCAAAATGCTTTTTCAATCATTAGGCTGCAAATTGTTGATAACACATATTCCTGTGATATATATATATATATATATATATATATATATATATATATATATATATATATGAAGTCAGATCCTAAAGTATCGTGACTGGTGCTATAAAAAGAAAACTACAACATATATCAATTCGGCATTTAATCTCCTTCGAAGTTTTCCCCTTCTGAAGCCACACACATCATCTAGCGAAGTTTACATTGGTGGAAACATTCTTGAAACACTTTTGGGGGATAGCGACCAGCTGCCTTGTCGTATTCTCTTGGATTTCCTCCACATATTGTTCCTTTTAAGGTTAATTTGGTTTTTGGAGAGATGAAAAAGAAATCTGGGAATATGGTTGTCAGACCCGGGGGATGTCATCGTTGAGCAAAGCCTACTGTCCAGGCTATGGCCACTGATGATGAACCCTTTGTGGTGTGGTGAGGCGACCGCTCTCTTCACAGTATCCTTCCGAGTACTGCCAATAACAAAGGAAGTGAGTGAGAACGTTATGACTTAGAGCTGTGCTTCCCAAACTATTTTTCTCTGGGCTGCATTTTCAGAAGGAAAATTTACTCGCGACTCACCAAATTTTCTGTGATAAAAAATACATTTATAAATAAAAAAGCAGAGAGTGTTTTAAAGTGAGATAATCGCAGATTCGAAATCCGAACAATAGTATTGATAACTCTCTCCTCCAATTTGCAGACACTAGTTACTATATTCTTAATACTTGATAGAATGCATAAACATCACAATGATATAATCGGTCAATAATTATTCATAACTATCTATACTGGGACTCTTTTATGCAATTACAAGTAAATCCATAATAATATTTTAAATTTTGAATTCATATTTATTTTTAGAATATTCATTTTTTTTTAAACTGTTTATAAATCTTTACTTGTCTCCGCCTCAGCTGCTATCTTCTTCATCCTCACCCATGAGGTTCGCAGCACCATTTGCAAACCACTGACTTAGTGTATGTGCACAGGGGAGTACAAGTACGATCTGTGTCAAGTGACTTCACTCTGCGTACTTTAGCTCAGTTACCATAGCAACAGCTCCGATATTTTTTTTATCAAACTCCGTATGGCTGTGTGTGTGCATGTGTGTGTGTATATACAGTGTTTTTTTCTTTTCTTTTTTTTTTTCATGTCATATGTACTTTGTAATAACATTCATCATCTAACAAATACTGAGATAGTGAAATAAACAATGCGTTCCGATGGTGATGACATTTTCTAAGCGTAAAAACGATAGTCACGAATTTAAAGAGTTTAAAGAAAATTATTGAATAAACATTACCGAAGACGTTAAATTTCCGTGCTGATATTGTTATTATTTTTTACTTATTTTTTGTTTTATTCCATAAAACGTTGCAAGCAATTCACTTCCATTTTCCTTTTTGATTCCATGACTTTTTTCTTATCCAATACCATGATATATTTTTCTTTTTTTTTTTCTTTTTGTTTTACAAAAAATTGATTTATAAAAATAGTTATCGGGTCATATATACACATTTTGGGTATCTACGAGGCTAATACAGGAATCCCTCGATTAGAGCAGCCAATGTGTACATTGGTAACTATAAAATATCAATTTTCAATTATTATGCTTAAACTGAAGAAAGTTTCACTGCACTAATCGAGTATTATGTATGCACTAAATTTTGGCATATATAAGTTTTAGTGCAGTAATCGAAAACACATTAATTGAATGTTACCTGTATTTGCGTGGAATGTACAGATTAGGCGCCTTATCAGTGGTCAGTACGAGTGATTACTGGGTGATTGAAAAGTAATTCCGTATTTTATTCATAATGGACTCTCCCGTCTTGTACAAATTATAGTTAAAATTGAGAGTACATTATACATAAAATACGTAATTACTTTTCAGTCTGTCTATATTTCTGAGATGAGGTATCATGTACACTATTTAAATGATTCGGACTATTGTCCTCATCTCTGTTGCTATATTTATCACAACGTTTCGGCCGTTGTACGCTCCGGCCTCCTTCAGGTGGTTGGAATGTCGAACTGAAATCTTTATTTCGCTCGCTGGGATAGACTGCTCTATTCCACCTGCCATATCTAATGGATATCAGTTATCTCCTATTAATTCACCGCTCCAGGTTCTCCACTGACTTAACCAGGTATTGAACTCACAAAACTTTCGGTCCTGTCACAGTGGATAAAAGCGTAGGTTAGATCCAGTGACAGGACCCAAAGAGTTGTGAGTTCAATACCTGGTTACGGCAGTGGAGAACTTGGAGAGGTGAATTAACAGAAGATAACTGATAACTGATATCCATTAGACATGGCACGTGGAACTAGAACAGTCTACAACAGCGAGCGAAATAAAGGGTTATGTTCGACATTCAAACCACCTGAAGAAGTCCGGAGCGTACAACGGCCGAAACGTTGTGATAAATATGACAACAAAGATGAGGACAATAGTCCGAATAATGTAAATAGTGTACTTTTCAGTAGTCTGGTTGATCATTATTACTGAGTTAACAAGTTCGATCCTCATTGGGTGACCTAAAATGTTGGTCTAATTTCAAACTAAGCTAACCAACAAAAAAAAAAACGACTCTTGAGCGTATGCTAATCGTTAGCGAAATAGTGCGTTTGACAAGAAAAAGTTCGATCCTTACTGTTCGCTCAATAAATGCCTGATATTTCTTCTCTACTTTTTTCATCAATTAACCGCCAGCAAGGCGATAAAGTCCCTAAGACTCAAAGGGCTACTGGGAGTAAAAGAAAATGAAAAGTCTTTAAAAAGAACCGGAAACTCAACCCTAAGCAGAGAACAAGGGATAAATAGCTAATCCTGTTAAAAAATAAACTGTGCAGGAGTAAGAACTGGACGATAGGCAAAGCCTATCTACTTCTATTTCTTGTATCAAAACGTTTAATATCACTATTATCATTACCATAACTCCATATTGCTTTAAGAAATAAACAACCGAGCAACGTATTTGATCACTCTGTCGACTTAGCTTCAGTATACGCCGACTGCACCTCGGCAGAAGAGTGGAAAAATGAGGTGTCCTGGGTAAGACGATAAACTACATCTGGCAGCAAGGTCTCTGATCAGGAGGTTTTGCGGAGCGTGGAACCACCTCTTAATTGCTTGTGTTCCTAGGTCTACTCTAGCTACTCTAGCTACATGGTGGTAGCACCTATTACGGTCACAGCCCTGGGCAAATAGTTAACCCCCAAACTGGAGTCAAAACACTATGAAAGTGCAGAAATAGGTTTTAATACAGGCAATACATTTTTTTTTTTAAATATTACCAGAAATAAAAATCTTGTCGGCATTAAATATCTCATTGAGGTTGTTATGCCGTAAAACAAAACGAAACAAAACAAACCTTATTTGATATCAAATGACTGTGACACCTTCCGTCAGGAAAAATGCCCCGTGATGTCAACAGATGTCTGGATAATCGCTCTCATAGATGTTGAAATCTATCTTTTTACGGACATACTATATACATCATTTGTCTGATCATCTTTATACAACTTCAGGTGCTTGAGTTTTTAGAGTTGGCATCTAGACTGGTTGCCAATCAGCGATAGAGAACTTAGTCTGTATTACTATTTAACCCATAGCATGTGGGGAGAAGAGATGGATTCATGCCTTTCTCCAAGATTATTATTTTTTATAGTGATGTTCACTTTGTACAAAACACGAGCAGTGTAAAAAGCACAGCTTATGCGGATATGTGTGGAAGATAACGGTTAACCCGAGACTTGAATTGTAGTGATCGCGGAAGCAACCTCTCGGGAATTGATTCCACAAGGCAATGGTTTGTGGAAAGAAACTGCTTGTGTGGAGCTTACATTTTCTCCAGGGGAATGCGAATGAAATGAGGGTGGTTTGCTATAATGAACATGGCATGACGGGACTTAGCCGTCTGGTGGAACTAAGGAGTGTAGTTTACCCGAACACTCTCCATGGAAACAGCGATAGAGCGGATTTGTGTGAAAGAGAAAACAATGAATTCGGATAGAATTCGAACTCGGTCAGCCCCGTAAACCATTATACTCCTTGCACATACCGCCACCATATCCGATAGGTTAAATAGCTTGGTGTACGTTTTTCTCGAGCAGGGAAATGTTTTGCGGCTTGGAAGGCAGTGGATATAATGGGGAAGTGGTGAAAGGGTAAACAACAAATGTTTATATAATGAAAATATAGGAAGAAAGATGGAGAAAAAAAAAAACAGAATATAAAAACAGATAAAAATAGATATAAAAGTAAGGCAACGTGGGGGTTAATTAAATGAAGTATTTGCAGCGTTGGGGAATGTTAATGAAAAGACAAGAAGGAGAAGAAGAAAAAGAGAGAGGAAAAGAAGAAGGAGGGTGGAAGGGGTAGGAGAAGAAGAAGAAGAAGAGGAGGAAGGAGATACAGAAAGCTATGAAGATAAATAGATCCGTAATGAGAGCGTGATTCCCGTGGTGGTCGTGGAGAAATCGTCAAGACGATAAAAGGATAGTTGAAAAGAAATGGAGAAAAACGCAGGGGCGTCAGAGAAGAAATCATAGTGAGAAAAAAAGCAACCCCACCGCCCACTAACAAAAATGAAACGGAAAGAGAGAAATATTGATTTTCAACTTAGAGAGTCCTTTCCCGCTTGGACAAAACGATGTAGCAGATTCTTCAGACAATAATATCTATATCTACATCATTAAGACGAACCTAAGCTGTATAAGTATCCAGTCGACAAAGTAGTAAAAAGAAAAAAAAGGTTAGGGAATAACTAAAGGAAGAAAGAAAGAAAGAAAAATACTAGGAAGGAAAAAGATAAACAGAAAGTGATTTAAAAACAATGAAATAAAAGAAGCAAATAAAAGAAAGAAACACATAGAAACATAAATAAAAGAAAGAAAGCGATAGATAGATAGATAGATAGATAGATAGATAGATAGATAGATCCTCTCTGAAGTTATTAAGCAAATCATATAAACTTCAATAATTCAAATTTGGTTCGAAAAAAATTGTCAAATTTTAAACAATCAATTTAGATGTCAAAACGTCAAGCCTTAAAATTTTAGGTAGTATCAATATGCTTTATTAAATTTATTGAAGTTATTTTATGTATTCTAAAAATAACGAAATAGTCACATTTTCCTTTAATAAAAAGGTAATAAAATCATAAAAAACTGATCCTGACCTATAACAGAACAAATAACAAACACATATTATAAGTCTTTGGAAACTTTACATTTTAATATAGTGACCTTTCCTCTCAATGACAGACAGTAATCTATTAACATTGATTTTGTTAATTCTTTTTACTTCAGCCAGTTCAGTTTCTAACATGGTAGTTTTAATTGCTTCCCATAGGTCAGCTTTGCTGTTATATTGCTTGCTGCCTTCATATAATTTCATCTTCACAACTGACCATAGATTTTCGATCGGATTCATCACAGGTCTTGATTCCATTATCTTCTCTCCTGTAAATATTTTACGCTCAAAGAATTCACGGGTAAGCTTAGACACATGTGAAGGCGCATTCTCGTGCATAAATACATATTTCACTTTGAAACTGCAAGAATGGGTCTTGCACCATACAAAGAAAATCTTGTTCATAAAATCGCAATAGTTAACACTGTTCAGTTTAACTCTTTCATCAACTTTGAATGAACCAATAATGGTTTGGTCGATAATTCCAGTTCATATCATAACACTACCGCCTCCTTGTTGCTTTCTTTTAGCCACAGGCACGTCTGAATTGGATAAAATCCATCCTTTGGTCCATTCATCTGGTCCATCAAACGTCACTAGAGATTCGACCGTGAAAATTACTTTAGAAAACTCAATTTTTATATATTTCCTGGTTCAAATTTAATGCTTTAAAATATTTCCCTATGATATCCCAATTCACAAAATATTCTACACCTTTTTTCTCTTCTGGACTCCCTTCAATTCCAGCCTTCTGAGCTCTGGTCAAAAGTGCTTGTTTCGCTATAACTCGCTTTAGTTTAAGTTCATGTCAAGGGTGCAAGTTCTTAAGGCCTTTTCTGTTGCTTCGAGTTCTCAACTTACTTATATTTTCAACAGGCTTCTTTATCGATCTCTGATCTCTGAAAAGCTCCGTTGATATCACTAATGGGGACTTAATAACTTTGTTGTTTTCTATTTTTCAGCAGTTGTTAGATCCTTCCCTTTACCCATGTTTCTACATATTTTATGGACAAAAAGAAAAAAAAGTTTTTATTAGATTTCAGAGGTCTTAAGTTAATATTAGTTTAATCTGCATAATAACTTCAGTCAGTGCATTTTCGTAAATTCCAAATATTTCGAAAATTAACCATTGAAAATGGCAGAATAGTTAGTTAAATATTTTACTAAAGGTGAAAATTGACGAGATTAAATTTGACAAATATTGGCTCAGAACTTTTTGAGTTATTGAGGTTTATTTGATTTACGTAATAACTTCATACAGGCTGTAGATAGATAGATAGATAGATAGATAGATAGATAGATAGATAGATAGATAGATAGTAAAAGGCTGAGAGAAAGAAATGTCTGTGCAATTAGAAATAGAAATAAACAGAGTTAAATAATCAGAAACAAAATAAAAATCGAATATAACGGGGAAAATATATTCTGTTGGTAGGATGTTCTTGGCTGGTGGCGGAGCAGAAAATGATGCTTACAGACACTTCCGTATGATCAGAGTTGCCAAGAGAGCAGAGCTGCGTAGTACGACAAGTGTCAGGGATAGGGATAAAAATGAGATCGAAAAGAGAAGCGTCTCCCTCAGGGTTACTTTGAAAATGCGTGGGGTAGTCAACCACTTCGTGGGAAATTGGGTGATTAAGAATTTAAGGGTTTGGATTCCAGCAGGGGTCAGAGACATAGTGTTTAAGCCACCTGGTATGGTGAGCACTAAATCACCGATCACAAATATATTTGCAGACGGGTGTAGAGAGATTCCCTTGTCTATATTATCGGAAATGCTATGTAGCATGCAACAGTCATGAGAGGAAGGAGAACAGTAGAGAAAGAAGAGATAGCTGACTGAGTTAAGTAGAGACAGACGGAGACACATGTAAGAGCGTTGTAGAGATTCAAGAGAAAGTTCCCTAGCAAGAGGGAGACGTTCACAGGCATAAACTCCCATGCCATGCATGTGGACATTAGTATCCTTCCTAAGAAGAGAAAGATAGCCAGGAATCGAGAAATGAGAGCAGGAGATTGAAGAGTTAAGATTAGTTTCACAGAGAGATAGAATGTCCGAAGAGGAACAGTTCTACACTGCAGAAGTTCTTACGAATAGTACGAATGCTGGAGAAAGGGAGGTCGAAAGGTTTAGGCAATTTTCGTTGAGCTGGTTTAGATTTATATCTTTGGTATATTATCGAGAGGGTGTGTTGTTTAGATATGGAACGACCTAGTGTAGTAGAAGCAGTATGTCGTCTAATGTAACATGTGCAGGAAGTGAACTGGCGCAGAATAAAACATAGTGCGGCCTTGGGGTTATCCACCGGAAATACTTACAGGGACACCTTTCCATGCGCGACATGGTACTGCAAGAACTCTGATATTATGCAACTATTTGTAAAGATAGAAAGAATGAACGAAAGCGTGTTTGCGAAAAAATAAAGAAATCATATTTGTAAAGAAAGAAAGAAAGAAAGAAAGAAAGAAAGAAAGAAAGAAAGAAAGAAAGAAAGCGTATTTTAAAAAAGCATATTTGTAAAAAAAGAAAGAATGAATGAAAGCATCTTCGTAAAAAATAGCATATTTGTAAAGAAAGAAAGAGAGCGCATTTATAAAGAAAGCATATCTGTAAAGAAAGAAAGAAAGAATGAATGAATGAATGAATGAATGGATGAATGAATGAATGAAAGCGTATTTGTAAAAAAAGCATATTTGTAAAGGAAGAAAGAATGAATGAAAGCGTATTTGTAAAACAAACCATATTTGTAAAGAAAGAAAGAATGAATGAAAGCGTATAAAAAAGCATATTTGTAAAGAAAGCATATTTGTAAAGAAAGAAAGAAATAATGAATGAATGGAAACGTATTTGTAAAAAAACAGCATATTTGTAAAGGAAGGAAGAAAGAAAGAATGAAAGCGTATTTGTTAAACATGCATATTTGTAAAGAAAGAAAAAGAAAGAAAGGAAGAATGAAAGCTTATTTGTAAAAAAAACATATTTGTACAGGAATAAAGAAAGAAATAATGAAAGCTTATTTGTAAAAAAGCATCTTTGTACAGAAAGAAAGAAAGAAAGAAAGAAAGAAAGAAAGAAAGGAAAAAGGAATGAAAGTATATTTGTAAAAAAAACATATCTGTAAAGAAAAAAGAAAGAAAGAAAATGTCATAGACGAAATAAAAATCAAATTAATAGAGAAAAATGAGAAAATGAAAAAAAGAGAGAGAAAGAGAAAAATGAGATGGCTGGTTATGGAAAGGATGGAGTTCGAAATATGAATTGCCATAAAAATAAAAAAAGAAAACTTGAAAATTCTCGTTCAAACCAAATAACTCATCCAAATATGGCTGAAGACATGAAGAAAAATAATGATCTTTTTATTTTTATTATATATATATATATATATATATATATATATATATATATATATATATATATATATATATATATATATATAGAAAGAACAAATTTATGGATTGTGATGAAGTGTGTAAAAACAACTTGCCTTTTCTCAAATCTAAAAAAAAACATTGAAAATAACTATAAACTCTACCATAATATTTTCCTTTCAAGCAGATGAGAACATCGATGTTTCTTTTAGCAATGCAACCACCATAACACTAGCAGTGGGTAACTCGGTGTTAGGCATAGTTAGCGAAACACTATACTTAACACTTCTTCTTCTGCAGGCCGCATCTTTTCAGGACATGGAAAATCATGGCTCTCCCAAACTCTCTATCCTTTGTGGCCTTAGCAGTTTTTTCTCCCTTTGCTAAGGTGCTGCCTCCCCGCCCCGTTTCGCCATCCAGGCTCGTAAAAGTAGGTGACCCGCTGCCTTCCTTTTGCCCGCTGCTCTCAATGTGTTCCGTGAGTTTTCCAAGCCCTACTTCCACATTATGTGTCACTTCTTGATTCTGAACATAAGTGTTCTTTTTCTTGCCATTTTGTTTAAATCTTCCTCATTGCTTACTTCGTTCATAGAATTTTCAGGATCCTTCCGTATCCTCTCGTTTTCTCATCACCCTAATTGACCAGCAATCACTGCCATATACGAGGCCACATACTGTATAGCATTCTAGCAGTCTCTTCTTTGTTTCTACGGATTGTTTTATTCTGTTTCTCAGCAATTTGTTTTATCCCAGATATTTTAATTTCTGTATTTGCTTGATGTTGACATCTCCAATTCGTAATTCGCATCTTGGGATTTTTTTTCCCCTTTTGCTGATGACCATACTTTCAGTCTTTTTGCAGTTGATGGTTTGTCCCGAGTATGGTCCTTACTGCATACTTCGCCTTGAACCAAAATGAAGGTATGTTTATTTAAATAATAATGTAGTTGGCGCTGGAAATATTACGTGGCAGAGTCTATGTACTACGTGCGTACGATCATTTTGTTTGAAACCAGAGACACATTCATTTCTCGATTTCTACTATTTTTCTTACCAAACTTTCTTACTATTCCGAGTAACAATAATCTTAACACTTTCTATCTCTTTTACCTATAGTTCTTTCTTTCTTTCTTTCTATTCTTCTTTTTTGTATATTTTTTCGTTCTTCCATCCTTTCTTTGTTTTCTTTCTTTCGTTTGTTCTTTCTTTCATTTCTTTCGTTTGATTTCTTTTTTTTCGTTTTTCGTTCCTCTTTCTTTTTTTTTCTATTTTTCTTTCTTCCTTTCTTGCGTTTGTCCTTTCTTTCATTTCTTTCGTTTGTTTTTTTTCCCTTTTCCTTTCTATTCTTACTTTCTTTTATTCTTACTTTCATTTTTTGCACTTTCTTTCATTTCTTTCGTTTGTTTTTTTTCTTTCTATTCTTTTTTATTTTCTTTCTTTCTCTCTTTCGTTTGTTTTTCTTTCATTTCTTTCATTTGTTTCTTCTTTCTATTCTTTCTTTATTTTCTTCTTTTCTTTCTTTCTTTTTTTCATTTCTCTTGTTTTTCTTTTTTCGTTCTATTCTCTGTTTTCTTCTTTCTTTATTTTTGTTTCATTTTTGGTTTTATCTTTTTCTTTCTTTTCATGTTTCTTTCTTTCTTTATTTCCTTCTTGCTTGTTTTATTTCTTTCTTTTTACTTTAAGCTCCTTGATAAGATTCAAATAAGAATCAGCAATATTATTGGTCCTGATCTGGCGGCTCAGCTCCAGTCACTTTCCCACCGCCATGAGGTTGTCTTTCTGTGTCTTTTTTCTATATATACTCTCATTGTAATTGTTCGTATGACCTCTTCGCTATGGTTCCCAGACTTTATGGATTTAAGCGCAGTATTAGACTGGCGCCGAGATCTCATCAATATACATGTGAGATGTCTAGATGTATCCTTACGTTCTATGCTAACAGTTTCTCCTCTCGCACCTCTTAATGGTGAACTTCCTTCCGGCTCCATACTTTCCAGCCAACTTTAATCTACAGAAAATTAAATGCAATCTCTATCGCTATCTACTGTCCACCTGATTACTCTCTTCTCTTTCTGCTAATCCTTAATGTTTCTGTTCCTAATTCTTCCGCATCCTGTAACCTCTTATGTTTTACTAGCATTACTGCCTTGTTTGCGGTGATTCCAATAAAAAAAAAAAAGAATTAATGGAGCACAAAGGCCAGATGAAATCAACAGCATTTTAGAGAAAATACCATTCTATTGAGTAGGGGCATGAAATATAGGAACTGCTATAGAAATAGGGTGCAAGCAATTAAAAAGAAAATATAAAATGTACTTTATAAGATTAAAACACATTGTTTTCAAAGTGGCGTTATTTTTTTATTTGAAACCTAAATCTACTTCAATAGAGCTCAACGCGCAACAATGACATATAAAACAACATGGAATGATTTTTTATGCATTCTATAATTCAGTCTCGTAGACTGTATATATTTTGGTTAATTATTATTATTTTATTATTATATATTCATTAACAACAGCCACATTTGTGAAATGTTATTTGCATACTAGAAAAATGATTAATAAATTTAATAGGCATAAAAGTTCTATGCCTTTGCAGAAGACCTGTTTATCAGAACAGTTGATGTCAATACATACATACATACATACATACATACATATATATATATATATATATATATATATATATATATATATATATATATATATATATATATATATATATTTAATTTAATACGACAGGTAAGGTGCTTTGATTTAGTTTTTTATACAATTTCTCATGCGATGTAATTTTTTTTCTTTTCAGATGATAAATTACGTAAAAACTGTCCGAATGTTCTTTTAATTCGAGCGCTTTCGGCTATACATTTAGCCATTTTCAAGGATGAAATATTTTGCCTGTTAAATAAGAAATCCTCTCGCACGCTTTTCTTTAAAAAAACGTAAAACAAACGCTTTATTAATAATGGATTTCCTAATCAATTGTTGGGTTTCCATATTATGTTCTCTAAGGTAGCTAATAGCTATGACAAGAATAAAAATATAAAAATAAGATTAATATTTTTTATAAAAATCAAATCATTAAAATCAAAAAAAAAAAGACGAAAGTAGAATTAGGAACATTATAAAAAATGTACAACATCAGTTTGACAATAGCAAGAAAACTAGATTAATTATTTATTACAAAAAATTTAAAACCTCTAACCTTTTAGTTAAAAATAATAATTCACTTCCTAGAACAAAATTA